TTTTTTTGTTTTTTAAAAAAATAACTCTTTTTTTTTTTTTTTTTTTGATGTTTTGTACATGGTAGGCATCTTTGGGAAAGGTGGGGCTTCCTTGGGAAATTAGTCTCAGTTTTCTGAGGGCTTGGTCATAGTGGCTTTGGGAATCAGTACCTAGGACATGACCCTGGGAGGCCCGGGGGCCACTCAAGCCATGTGTGTTCAGTGACTCACTGACCCTTGGGCTCTTGTCACATAGCAGTGCTCAGCAGTGCCTAGGCACTTGCTTCGTGCTGTGAACACTCCCATGTTCATCCTCTTGGCTCCTCTCCCTTTAGGTGGAATCTGTCCAGCCTGCTGTTGGAGCTGTTTGCTTGTTTCTAACCCTTGCCTGGGCATGCTGGGCTTTGTGAACTCATAGTTGGTTTCCTGCGGGTGGCTCTCTTAGGGACCATTCCTTTCCAGTAGGAGCACAAATGCCATACCTCATATCTCCCCACAGCCCTGTCCTGGCAAGAGCTGCCAGAGAAGGTCCCCAGCTGAACAAGCGGTATCAGGAACAAAAGGGGGCATGGGAAAAGGAGGAATTCTTGCTTTGTATGTGTTTATGTATGTGTACATATGTATGGGGTAGGTATCACTCACTAGGCCATGGGTGGCTGTCTTTTTAAATAAAACCATTTTTGCTGGTGTGAGTGCTTTTCACAATTGGTAGTGCCTCCCAACCTAAATGAAACCACAGAGAGGAAACCCCAGAGTGTCTTCTCCCCTTCCCCCAAGCCTTCTGCATGAGCAGGAAGTTCAGCTCTTCCTTAGTTCCTAGTCGCATCCAATTCCTTACAATCTTCTGTTATCTTGGAAAGGTGACATGATATCATGGTGCTTGGGGACATTAGTTACTTCCTTCACACACAGATACATTTTCTTCATTAGCCTCCTTAAACGATTACAAACAAACATACATCTCAGTGAGAACATTGTGCTTTCTCTGCAAACAAGGCCTGGATTTCACTATATCATCTGGGGAGCTTGTTAAAATGTAGGTAGGTTCTGATTCAGGAGGTCTGGATCGGGGGTCCAAATCCCTGTCTTTCTAACAAGCTCCCAGGTGATGCCAAAGCTGTTCTTGGGAAATGACAATTTGCTTATGGCTCTAGGCAGCCCCACCTCTGCCACACCACAGTCAGCTAAGTTCTCCCTAGTGTTATTCTGTACATCAAAGGTCTATGGGCTGGGGGCCCTAAAGTTTCAGTTTCAGTCTCTCTCTGTCTCTCTGTCTCTGTCTGTCTCTGTCACACACACACACACACACACACACACACACACACACACACACAGCCTCAGGGACTAAGAGAGTGTAAGCCTGCAAGCTCAGACCTGTGTTGTAGTCTAGACTCTGCTGAGAACTGTCAGGGGTTGATTCCCTCTCTGGGCCTCAGTTTGTATGTATTCTCTGGGGTTGATCATACAAATAGCTGAAGGCCCTTTCATGCTAACATTCTTTGTTTCTAATTAATTAACATGCATAATCAGCAAGTCTCTCTGAACTCCCTTCAAGTCTGAAGCCTTAGTTTCCCAGCCAAACCCCACCCCACCTTGTGTGTCTTCGAAAGGTCCTTACCTTTTCTGGTCTCAGTGCTCTTGTTTTTTATCAGTTGTAATTGCCGGGGTGAGAGTCACCTGATCTGGACAAGCCAGGACAGAAACTGAGCACAAATATAAAGATGCTTAGCATAGTTCTTGATAAGGCTGAAGTAGTTTGTGTTTCTGGGAAGAATCAGACACTTATTCTATGTCAGGATGTGGGGAGAAATAGGACATTACCTTCCAGTTCACCTGGTTCATGGATTTTAGATTACAGAATGAGGGGTTGGGGGATAACTCTGGAGGTAAGAGTGCTTGTTGTACAAGCATGAGGACTTGAGTTCAAGTCCCCAGCACCTTTGTAAAAAACCGGGCATGGTCATGAGCACCAACACCATGGAGAGGCTGAGACAGGAGGATCACCGGAGTTTGCTGGCTTCCTGTCTACCTCCAGGTTCAATGTACGACTCTGTCTCAAGGGAATAAGGGAAAAGGTGATAGAGCAGGACACCTACATCCTTCTCTGGCCTCTGCCCTTTTACATGATGTACATAGCCATACAATCCACATATACACAGACAATATTCTGAACTAGCAAAATGATTCCACACATATGTGGCAGCTAAGGAGAGGAGTTCGGGGCAGTTCCTATGGTCTGAAGAAGTAAAAACAGGTCGGGGATGGAGTGTGGGGAAGATGGACCTGATGTAACTCTTTTTTAAAAAAATATTTTATTATTTTATTTTATGTGTATGAGTGTATTGCATGCATGCATGTTTAGTGCACCCGTGTCATGTAATGCCCACAGAGATCAGAAGAGGGTGTCAGATTCCCCAGTACTGATGGTTATTAGCCACCATGTGGGTACTGGGAGTCAAACCCATGTCCTCTGCAAGAGCAGCCAGTGCTCTTAACCACTGAGCCATCTCTCCAGCTCCTGATAAAACTCTTGAAGAGCAGGCATTGGAAAGGGCCCCACAACATTGTCTATCTCACAACACTGAAAAGGCAGTGAGAGAGGCAGAAGTGTGGGGTGTCAGTGTCTAGATGGTGGAGATGCCTGGGACTTTTGGTGTTATGAGGGTGAGAAAGGCCCCAGATAACCTGCCAGACTTCTTCAGGATCTTAACCACTCAGGTAGACTGAAAGGTGTTGGCACAGGGTGCAGAGCAGGGCAGCTGTGATGGCCAAGTATTTCATCCTAAAAGCATTGGACAAAGATAAGGATGGTGATAATAATGAAGCCCTCATTTGAGTATCATAGTTTTTCAAGGGGATAGAATTGGGTCCCTTCATTGATGACATTTTTGTTTAGATCTCAAGATTCCACCAAGTATCAAAAGTGCATACTGTGTGTAAGTCATTCACATAGGGCTGCCTTCTGCTTCCACTGAGTGTCATGGTAAGAGTAAGTCATGGAAAGTCTATATGAGAGGTTATTTTTATCTGGTATCAAGGTCATCTTTATGACCTCGATGGGCTCTTTCATTAGAACATGAGCTGATTCCCAACACTGCTCCTGAAAATACCATTTTTGCCCAACGTTTATGCTATCTGCCCTCCATTTTCTTTGAGGGAGTGAAGGCTAGGGGTGAAAGCTATTTGGATTAACCAAGTTGACATGTTTTTCATCGGATACCATTAATCTTGATGGAAAAATCAATTCTCTAACCCTTTATCTCTTGATAAAAGGCCAATTCCTTGTTCACGCAGTAAAATCCCAAAGTCTTCCTCTAACGACTCAGGTTAAGTGGTTGCTCACATCAGTCTGCAGGCCCACCCAGGCTTGAAGTGACCAACTGTGTCCAGAATGTTGTGGAGAGGTTAGAGCTCAGCTCTCAAACTTGTAGCAATCTTTTTGTATTAGCCTTCTGAATGCTGGGATAACAGGTGTGAACCACCACACTAGGCTCAAGGTACTTATTTATTTCTTTACTTTAAAGATTTTTTTAAAAAAATTTATTATTTTTATTTTATGTGTATGCGTGTATTGCCTGCATGTAGGTAAGTGCACCATGTTGTGCAATGCCCGTGGAGGTCAGAAGAGGCTTTCAGTTCCCCTGGGACTGGAGTTATAGACAGTTGTTAGCTGACATGTGGGTGCTGGGATTCAAACCCGGGTCTTCTGCAAGAATACCCAGTGTTCTTAACCGCTGAGCCATCTCTCCAGCCCCTACTTTAAAGATTTTTATTTTTACTTGTGTGTGTGTGCCTGCAGAGGCCAGAGGAGGGTGTTGGAGCTGGAGTTGCAAGTAGTTGTGAACCACACTATGGGGGTGATGGGACCAAAGTCCATGAGCCATCTCTCCAGCCCTCTCAAGCTACCTTAAAAAAATATATATATATCTACATATATATCTACATATATGTATATATATATTTTTTAATTTTTACTTTATGTGTATGGTGTCTTGCTTGCATGTATCACATATGTAAGTGCATCTGTGTCCTGCAATCCCTATGGAGGTCAGAAGACAGTGTCGAATCCCCTTGAACTGGAGTTATGGACAGTTGTTAGCCACCATGTGGGTGCTGGGAACTGAATCTGGGTCCTCTGTAAGAGCAGCCAGTGCTCTTAACCACTGGGCCATCTCTCCAGCCCCTGAAGCTACCTTTTAAAGCAATCTTCTTTCCATGCCTATAATTACAGCACTCGGGAGTCTGAGGCAAAAGGCTTGCTTCAAGTTTAAGGTCAGTTTGCTTGGTACACCACAGAGTGAGAGTCTGTCTCAAATACCAACCAACCCCAAAACGGCACAGCATGGTGGTGCACATCTGCAGTAGTCTCAGTGCTTGGGAGGTGGAGGCAGGAAGACTGAGGGTTCAAAGCCATCCTCAGCTACATGGTAAGTTCGAGACCAGCCTACGCAATTTAGTGAAACCCTGTCTCACAAACTAATTAAATAAATTAAAAGGTAGTCTGAAAGAGAAGCTGGTAACCAGCAGGAGCAGCCACTGGCCCTAAGTGAGCCCCTCTGACACCTTCCCAACCTGGGCACGGCCCTGCCCGGCCAGCAGGCGGCGCGCGTGCGCCGTAGGGCGCAGCGTGGGGCCGGCCGCCCAGTGTCGGGACGTGCGCGTGTCCGCCCACTGCTTCGAGGCCGCGCACGCCTGGAGCTCGGAAGGCGGGCCGGGCCTTCGAGGGGCCACTTCCGGGAGGGGCGGGGCCGGGGGAGGCCGACCTCCAATCTCGGCGAGGCGGCGGAGCCTGGCCTTGTGCCCCAGGGTCAGTAGTGCGCCTGGGAGAGACTTGGGTGGAGGCGCTGCGGCGAGGCCGTAGAAGGAGCGGGAAGGAAGGAAGGAGCGGGCGTCCTGAGGAGGTGGAGGGGCCGTGCGGGCTGCGGGGTGGGCAGGCCCAGGGCAACTGGGATGGGACCGGAGGCTGAGGGGAGCGGGGCTGAGGAGAGCGGGGCTGAGGCTGAGGAGAGCGGGGATGAGGGGAGCGGGGCTGAGGAGAGCGGGGCTGAGGGGAGCGGGGCTGAGGCTGAGGGGAGCCGGGCTGAGGGGAGCGGGGCTGAGGCTGAGGGGGGGGGGTGAGCGGGGCTGAGGCTGAGGAGAGCGGGGCTGAGGGGAGCGGGGCTGAGGCTGAGGGGAGCCGGGCTGAGGGGAGCGGGGCTGAGGCTGAGGAGAGCAGGGCTGAGGGGAGCGGGGCTGAGGCTGAGAGCGGGGGCTGAGTGCAGTGGGGCTGAGGCTGAGGGGAGCGGGGCTGAGGATGAGGGGAGCAGGGCTGAGGGGCTGAGGAGAGCGGGGACTGAGTGCAGTGGGGCTGAGGCTGAGGGGAGCAGGCCTGAGGGGAAAGGTGCTGAGGCTGAGAGGAGCGGAGCTGAGGGGAGCCGGGTTGAAGGGTGGGTCAGAGGAGTTGTGGGACCCTGTGGAGGCTAGACTTGACTGAAGGTTGTGTCCCTGGCCTCTAGTGGGGTTCCCCTGGTGGCAGTGTGGGCTTTTGATTTTCTCGGCCTGGCCTAGAGCCTCAACCTCCCTGGGAATCAGCCGCCCTCACAGTCCAGTCCAGCACAGTTCACACATCCAGTGGTCCACACATCCAGCAGTCCACACATCCAGCCATCCAGTTGGCACATCCAGCGGTCCACACACCCAGTGGTCCACGCACCCAGCGGTCCACGCATCCAGCGGTCCACACATCCAGCAGTCCACACATCCAGCGGTCCACACATCCAGCAGTCCACACATCCAGCCATCCAGTTGGCACATCCAGCGGTCCACACATCCAGCAGTCCACACATCCAGCCATCCAGTTGGCACATCCAGCGGTCCACCCACCCAGCGGTGCACGCATCCAGCGGTCCACACATCCAGCCATCCAGTTGGCACATCCAGCGGTCCACACATCCGGCGGTCCACACACCCAGTGGTCCACCCACCCAGCGGTGCACGCATCCAGCGGTCCACACATCCAAGCCAGGCATCCAGACAGGTGGGTGGGACAGTTTCAAGTTTTAGAAGTAAACAGACCTGTTTCCATTTTACAGAGGACATCGGAGGATCCTGGGAGGCAGGAGAGGAAGATGCCAACTTCCGACCTTCTCACACTGGTGAGCCCTTATGTACATTCCCCTCCTCAGACGACCCTGTCCCCTAACTCTTTAATCTTTACTCCAAAGGAAATGAGTGTGGTGATGTCCCCTCTGATGATGTCCCCTCTGATGATATCCCCTCTGATGATGTCCTCTCTGAGGTGTGCTTGCTTTGGGTAAAAGGTTTCAGTCAGTTGGGGTTAGTGATCAGGATGAGTCCATTGGCAGTATGTACAAATACAGTACATGCAGAACTTAAGCATTTGGAGACTCGTTCAGAGTCCTTGCTGGTGGTGGTCAACCCTTTCTGCTTTTCCCACTAGAGTAATGTTTTGTTTTTGTGAGACAATCTTGCTGTGTAACCCTGCGAGGCCAGGAACCTACAACATGCACGGCCTTGAACTGTCACCATCCTTCATGCCTCTGCCTCCTAGTGCTGGGACTTCAGCACACCTGGCTTCTTGTTCTTTTGAAATAGGCTCCCCCCTCTCACCCTCCCAACACCAAGCTGGCCTCATTCTCATGGCAATCCTGCATCAACCTCCAAGTGCTGGGATTATAGCCACATGCCCAGCTTGTTGTTTTTTGAGGCAGGTTTCCCTATGTACCCTCTGATGGCCTTGAGCTGGCAGTCCTCCAGCAGCACCAAGCTGGGCTCTTTTTGAGACAGTATATCTCACTATGTAGACCAGGTTTGCCATGAACCCTATGTGTAGCTGGAGCTGACTTTGAACTCTGTATACAGCAGGCTGTCCCTGTTCTGCCTCCTGAGTGTTGGAGTGGTTTTGAAACTCGTGCCTTTGATCAGGGTCTGCCATGTGTTAATTTATACGTATTTGTGTCTTTGTGGGTCTCTGGAAAGAGCTATTGTATCTTACTTGACTAGAGATGAATAAATACCTGTGTTGGTGTTCTGAATTCAGGGACTAACTTAGCAAATGCTTAGACTAGTCTTGAATTTAAGTTCTTTTGTTGCCTGCTTTGAGGCTGTTTCTGCTGATACCTTGTTAGATGGTTGTGGGGTTGTTTTTTCTTTTTTTCTGAAGATACGGTCTTGTTCTGTAGCCTAGGCTGGCCTTGAATTTGGGGCAGTGCTGGGATTACAAATATGAGCCATCCTACTCAACTTTCTGCTGACTTCTTTATGTGCTGTTTTTTAATTTTCATAACTTTATTTTTTGAATTTTTAAAATTTTAATTTTTTTAACCAAGAAGGGAGAATAGCATTGCCAAATGTGAATTTACCAAAATGACATTTTATACATTTATGAGTCCTTATAAGGTTCTTACTATGAAAATTGTGAGGAGCCTCAGAGCTTTCAAATAGCAGTATCAAAAAGTATCTGGGTTTTTTGTTTAATATAAAGACATTTTCCTGGGTCTGACATCTCCTTGTGCAGTATCAGTGACTTAAGAGCAATTTCTTTTTCTCTTTACTTCCCTGAGAGTTATTTTTATAACTGAGATATGACAAAAACTAGCAGGGAGGTTTTCTTATAGCTCGTGCTGACTTCCTATAGTGGCAGGAGGATAAGGAAGAGGGAAACTAAGTTGTAATTCCCTCAAGTTTGAGGTGGAGAGCAAGGATGATTTCAGGTGATGTGTGAGAGACTGAGGAATACTTGATTAATCCTCAAGAGCCTAATGAAAAATTTGTCTTTAAAATAAGTTCTTGTTCCAAATTTCATGAATTTTTCAGTAGGCAATTATTAATTGAAATTTTTTATTACAAGAGCATTATGCCAGAAATGTTGGAAACTAAAGAAAGAAAAGGAAGTGAACCTCTCCATCTTTTTAACCTTCTTGCAATAATTCATCACCAAGAGGTAATTGGTGTTGGCCCATCTTAAATAGCTAATGCATAATGGTTCCTAACAATTGGGAGTTTCTGCCTTTCCTCTTAAAGATCTGTACATGTATATAAATGATGGATTCCTATGCAGAAGTAGGATATTTCTCCATGTAAGGATTTGTTTTTGTTTTGGCATGGAAGGCAATGAATTAACTTTTAAGTCTGAGCAGTGATTGCATTTATTTAGTATATTAACTTTGGAATTGGTTTGTTTTGAAATATTTCTCTTGCTGTTGTCATACCTAGTGATTACTTCCTGATAATCTAGAATGGGAATTTTTTTTTTAAGCCGGGCATAGTGGCGCATGCCTGTAGTCCCAGCACTTGGGACGCCTTGTGAGTTCAAGGCCAGCCTGGTCTACATAGTGAGTTCTAGGACAGCTGGGGCTACAGGGAGACCCTGCTTCAAAAAGACAGAAAAAAAATTTTTTTTTAAGAAATTATTTAATAACCACATGATTAGAAGTATTTCATTACAGCGTTAACATATTCACTAACCATTTCCAGAGCAAAGATACATCCCTTTCAATATTGACTGTAAATTTTTAGGTTCACAGTTGAATTAATACAGTTATACAATATTGAACTCAGTATAAACTCTGTAAAACATAAAATTGAATGAAGTTTTAACCTTTAAGAAAGATCTCCATTTCATTTTAAAATATACTGTTTCATACAGAAAAACTCATTTTTAATGCTACTAACACTTAGATGTTTGCACATGCGTCTCTAATCTCTATGTACCTGATTATTACTAGTCACCATCGATTACTTTCTAAGATCCACCTAAGCATGGATATAAAATCATTGGGTAGATTTCAATGGTAATGTGTTTCACCTCTACTAATTAACATGGAGCAAATTTTTATGTTTCTTCCTCAAATATAACTCATTTTTTAAAATTTGTTGATTTTTTTTTTTTTGTATTTTATACAGAACATCCCAAACAATTTTATAGAATGGGAATTTTATTCTGCATGTTTCTGTAAGGAGTTGACATAGATATGAATGGTTCTTGACAGTCATCATTTTCTGAAGATAACTTACAGATTGCATGAAGTGCTTTCATTGGAGAAACTGTCACCTCTTTCTGGGTTGTAGTGTATGGGGCTAAATGGAAAAAAAAAAAAAAAAAAAGACAGACCAGGGCTAGGTTTTCAGTGGGATACTACATTTAATCATGATCTAACTTCAAGGTTCTCTGTGGTTTTTGCAACACATAAGACAAGTTGACCCTTCAACTGGGAAAAAAGGACTTAAATGAATTGAAAAACAGTCTCAATCCAGGGAAATGTCTCACAGTATTTCACATTAAAAACTGTGTGTGTGTGTGTGTGTGTGTGTGCATGTGTATGTGTGCATGTGTATGTGTGTATGGTGTTGGGGATTGACGTCTTGCACATGCTAGGCAGGTGCTCTAGCTATATCCTCAGCCCTTGTTTTACTTTTTATTTTTGGACAGGTCTCACTAAGTTGCCCAGGCAGGCCTTGAACTTGCAATCCTCCTGCTTACCAGGCCCAATTTAAAAACAATCTTAAAAGTCACATGAAGGCCAGGCATGGTGGCACGCGTCTTTAATCCCAGCACTCCAGCACTTGGGAGGCAGAAGTAGGCGGATCTCTGTGAGTTCAAGGCCAGCCTGGTCTACATAGTGAGCTCTAGGACAGCTGGGGCTACAGGGAGAGTCTCAAGACAAAAAAAAAAAGTCATTTGAAGAGCTTCTAGTTATTGCACATGAATGTTTTTCAGAGTGTCTTAATAAATATTTGTTCAGTCACTCATCCCTTGTGCTAGCAGAATAAGATAAACAAAAGGTAGGAAATCATATAAAGTGGATTCTGGAATAATAGCAGAGTTCTTACAGCTCATTACATATTAGATACAGAGATGGTATACATACTCATTAAGTTAAAAAAATTTTATTTTATGTGTATGAGTGTTTTGCCTGCATGTGTATAAGTGCACTCATGTTTAGTGCCCACAGAGGCCAGAAGAGAATATCAGAGCCCCTGGAACTGGAGTTACAGAGGATTGTTAGCCGCTATGTGGGTACTAGGAACTGAACCTCTGTAGGAACAGCCAGTGCTCATAACCACTGAGCCATTTCTCCAGCCTCACTCATTAAGTTTTTATCAAAAACTTTAAAAAATAAGCTGATATCCTCCTTTAATAGTTGAAAAACCAAACTTAAAGTTTGTATCACAGCAGTTAAATGGTAGAAGCCATTTTACCTCAAGTGGAATGACTTCAGAGGATCCCTCCCTTTTACCTTTGTAACACTGCCTCTGGGCCATGTTCCTGGTAAAGGACAGAGGTTGCTGATCATTGTGGCTGGTAGCAGAGAAAGGATGGAATTATTTTGGGGGCACTTTGGGAACATGTAGGAGGGGAAAGGATTCATATCTCCCGATATCACCTTACCCGAAAGTATCTGATTTATTATAAAATCTTATTTTCTTTTACATTGCAAGTAGGGCATTTAAATTTAAAATGCTGTGCTTATAAGTATGATGTTATAATGTTTGAAGGGTATTGCAAAATATTTATTGTAAAGGAAACATCGAGTATGATAAGGCTGAAAATCATTGTGAAATGTATGTTGGAGAGAAAGTGTGAAGATCATCTGGAGTCTGTACATAACCAGCTGTCCTCCCTCCCTGTGTTCCTGCTCTCAGTTTTGTCTGTCTGGTTAGGGTGGTTTACCTGCCTTTTTCCATTTGCTCACATGTGACATGTCATGGGACTGTAACATTTTCCACCTATATCTCAGGGAGAATAAATGTGTGCATTCCTCTACCTCGTCCTTTATCTACTTTGGCAGTATTTTCATTCATATTCTTTTAAGTTCCACTGAGTCGTATAACTTTGAAAATTTTCAAATGCTTGTAGTTTTAAAGGAAAAGTTCCTTCATAAAGCCAGGTGTGCTCCGTAGGTGTTTTTTTGTCTTTTGTTCTAGTTAGCTTCCTATTGCTGTGATAAGACACGTTGACCAAAATGAACTTGGGGAGGAAAGGGTTTATGTCATCTTACCCTTTCAAATGATAGTCTATCACATAGGGAAGTTAGAGCAGGAACTGAACAGACCATGGAAGAATGTTGCTACTGGCTTCTTCCTCTGGCTTGTGCTCAGCCTGCTCTCTTACACAACCCAGGACTACCTGAAC